CGGCGAAGGCCGCGCGGAAGGCGTCGCCCGCAGCTGTCGCGTCGACGGCCGCGACGCTGGGCACCGCGGGCGACGCGAGCGTCGGGCCGTCGCGCGACACGAGGCGGCTGCCGCGCGCGCCGAGCGTCAGGAGCACCTTCGTCGCAGCGCCCGGCGGGATCAGCGACCGGCAGGCGGCGTCGAGGGCGCCGTCGCCGTCGAGGGACACGTCGGCGCCGACGAGGCGCCGGAGCTCCGAGAGGTTCGGGCTCAAATAGTCGCAGTTCGCGACGTGTTCTGGGTCGAGCGGCCGGTCCTCGCCGCCGGCGTCCTGCAACACGATCACGCCGCCCGCCCGCCTCGCCGCGGCGGCGGCGGCGGCGTTGACGGCCTCGGGGATCTCCTGCTGGAGCAGGAGGACCGAGGCGCCCGCGACGAGGTCGTCCCAGGCCTCGCCGCCGTCCCAGCCGGCGAAGTTCGCGCCGCGGACGACGACGCTCAGCACCTCGCCGCCGTCCTCGAGGAGCACGACGCCGAGGCCCGTGCCCGCGGCGGCCGTCGCCGCGACGCGCGCCGCGCCGACGCCCGCGTCCGCGAGCGCGGACCGCACGGCTGCGGCCGCGGCGTCGTCGCCGACGCGCGCCGCAAATTCTACGTCGACGCCGGCGCCGCCGACGCCTCCGCCGACGCGGGCCGCGGCGACGGCCTGGTTCAGGCCCTTGCCGCCGCAGCACGTCGCCGGCGCACCGCCCGTCACGACGGTCTCGCCGGCGGTCGGCAATTTGGCGCCGACGGCGTAGGTCGTGTCGAAGTTGGCGGAGCCGACGACGGCAATCTTCCTGCGGCGCTCGAGGGCCGACGCCATGCAGAGCAGGCCGACGACGACCGCGCGCCGCATTGAAGCATCGGCTCGAGCCATCGCAGCTCTCCGAGAGCTTCTTGCCGTCAAGTTTGCCCCTGGGTTGCCAGCACCGACTATCTCGCCGAGGATCGACGTCCGCGCCCCGCGCCGCCGCGCCCCGGGCGGCGG